CTGCGTGTGGCTGGTTGATGCTGTTTGCCGATGTGGCCGTTCTTCGCCTTTGGTGCGTTTCTTCCAGCCTCGTAAGGCCTGATGGCCAACTTCGGAGCCGTCGGAACCATTCTGGAACCCTCTAGGGCCGTCTTGGTCTCGCTTACGGTCCTCTCGGACAATGGGTAAAAAGGATCCGCGCTACCCAGGCAAACGTTTTTTGCTACCGCAGCAATGATTTAGTGGAGCGTATGTGGCGCATTGTAGAGCAGCGCAATCCCACAAAGAGCAACGCAAAGCACCGCAACGCCACGCCACACAGAGCAGCGCCTAACACCGCAACGCCAACCGATACCAGGCTTAAAAGGCCGCTCGCTGGCGCCCACGAGCCGACAAGCCGGGCGGCAGTGGGGCGGCTGTGGTTGGCGGCGTCCACCTGGACAGCTGCAGGGCGGCGCCCCGCCCGCGCGAGCGGCCGATGAAGACGCCTGTGCGGTCGGGAGCTTCTGCTGCGGTCGGGCTCGTGTGATCGGCAGCGCGCCCGGGGGGGAGGTGAGAAGGGGCGGGCCTCCCCAGAAGGCTCGGACACCGACCAGCCATAACTGGGGGAGCTGTGGTCCTTTACCCCACCTGGGGGAACCCATCGCATCGACGATCTCTCGAGAGGGGTGTCGAAATTGATGGGTCCCCCAGGGGGGTAAGGACCACAGCTCCCCCAGTTGCGGCTGGCCTGGGAAAGCCCCGGGCCTTCTGAGAAGTTTTCTGAGCCTTCCCCAAGAGCACAGAAAACTCCCGAGAAGGCGCGAACGAAGGCTTCTGAGAAGTCCCGCCGCCTTCTGGGAAGGCCTTCTCCTTCTCACTTGCCACCCTCGCTCGCCGCCGAAGTGGGGCGCCCACGAGCTCAAAATACGGAACTCGCGCTTGGCTCCTCGGAAGCCGGACGAGGCCCCTCAGCGCGAAACTGTCGCCACTCTCGAGGGCTGCTGGTGGGTCCTGCGGAATGAGGCGCCGCGCGGGACCTCGCCGTGCCTGGGGGGCTGCGATCTGCGAAACTGCCGCCACTTTCGAGGGCTGCTGATGGGTGCAGCGCGCAGCGCGCCACGCGAACCAGTGCAGCGCAAAGGGCCACGTCGGGCGACACCAGGCGCCCAGGAGAATCGCCCCTCAGGGGAGCCAGGCGACTGCCCGGCAGCTTCCCCGCCGCCAGCGCCACGCGCTGGTCGCGCAGGGGTCGGCTGCTGAAGGTGGAAGCCAGCCTCGGGCACGTCGACCAGGTGTGCACCCAGGCATCCGGCGCCTTGGACCGAGGCCAAGACGGAGGGCGAGGAGGAGGACGACGGGGAGGATGAGCGACGTTACGGGCATCGTTTTTCATGTCCGATCAACGTCCAGAAAAAGGAAGAGGACGACGGCGAGGAGCAGATGGGGCGACATCGAGCGACGGCGGGCGACAGTCCAAAATTCGGGGCCAGCTCGGCGCGGCAAGGCGACCACGGGCTGGAGGCCTGGGAAACCCGCGACCAGCTCCAGAGACAGAAGGGGCGCCCCCAGAGCAGCACAGTATCTGGGGAAGAGTTCGGGTCCGCACCACGATCGCGCAAAGAAGAAGTCAAACATTTCCCCGCGCTCCCGAAGCAACGCCCCCCGGACCATGTGTAACTAAAAACACTGCCGGGTCCTGCTCCCAAACCAACGTTAAAAACAACAACGCGCTCCCGAGTCCCCGACCCGCAGTAAACAACAATGATTTTTTCTTCGAGCGGTCCCCACCGAAACCTTCGGCGTTTGTTCCCAACGGTGCGTGCGCCTACTGGAACAATGTGCGCAGGGCCCAGCGGTCTCGGCCAGCGCGGTGGCCAGGCCAGGTCGCAAGTTGATGTTTTCCGAAGGTCTAACAACCCCAGGGCCCGCGACTAGAGAAACCGAAACATGCCCCTCGAGCGATAAAGCAGCCCCCAAAATGCGTCTTGTGAGACCCCAGAACTTGCTGCTCACCTCCTCCTCCTCCTCGTCCTCGTATGCTATGCTCGATAAGGTTGTATTCTGCTATGCTACAATATGGTCTGCTATGTTGTCGACAAGACGGCATGACGCCGTGACGCCTGTCACATTAGATACGTCGTCCGATCGGCCGTTGCTGCGCTGTTTATATCTGTGGCCGGGCTCACCTCAGACCGCACGTCGAATTTGATTATGTTATGGTACGGCCTATTGTGTTTAACAAGTGCCTCTTCACGTTTGTGCTTCCTGCTGTTAAATTGTGCTCTGTTATGTTCACCTCTGTCTGTGCATGATTTGTCATGATATGATATGCTCGGTTATGTGGCACCACGTGATGACATGATACGTGCTCTCTGTCAGGTTCTGTTATGTTATGCTGTTCTGTGTAATTATGTTCAGGGTATGTCCAATTCGTAAAAGTATATTATGATATGCTCTGACATGACATAACTCTTCGATGAAATTATAGCCATAAAAGTCAATATAATCCGTTGGCGTAGGGGTAGCAGTAGTACAACAATGCTGCTTGCTTTAGGCTCTAATCGTTACCAAATGCTGGTTTGACTGCGTTATACAATGTTGTGCTCAAATATGTCTGTTCCGTTGTCGACGGGCCGTCGTGACGCCTGTCACGAAAGATACCTCGTCCGATCGGTCGTTGCTGTGCCTGTGTGTACCTGTGGCCAGCCTGACCTCGGCACAAACGTTGCGTTTGATCCTTAAATTAGATGATTCCATTATGTTGCGATGCCCCTATTCAGACATGCTTCTCTACTATTAAAGTCTGCTCTGTTATGTTCACCCCTGTCACCATAAGATTTGATGTAATATATTATGCTCTGCTCTGTGGCACCGTGTGGTGGCATGATCTGTTCTGTCCGGTGATGCTCATGCTGTGTGTGATGCTGTTGATGTTACGTTGTGCCACGGTTATTATGCTATGCTATTTTTAAAAACGTTTAATTATTCCTATGCAATGTAATGAAAGGTGCAATGGTGCAATGCATTTGTTTTTGTCGTTGCGTTGTTGTGCTAAAATGTAATCGATGCAACGTTATGGCATGCTCTGTTCTGTCAAGGCATGTTATACTATGCTCGGTCATGCTATGACATGATCTGCTATTTCATAATATGTGGTACCGTGCACTATCATGATATAATTTGTCATGTTACGGAATGCTCGATTCCGTGAGGATGTGGTATTTTGAGCTCTGTTATGCCACGGCACGTTATGCTATGTCCGGTTACTTCATGTTCGGTTATGCTATGGTATACCATATCATGCCAAGTTATGCTGTGATCAGCAATCCTCTGTTATGATGAGTCGTGCGATGCTATGTTATGCGTGATCCACTCTGTCATAACATGCGTTGATCTGCTATGTTGTGTAATGCGATGCTCCGACGTGCCATGATATGCTCCGTTCTGTTGTGCTGCTATACTATGTTATGTTCGTCGGTGTAGACATTTCATGCCGCGCTCTGCCATTGCATGCGTTGCCAGTGTACGCTATGTTGTGGTGTGTTATGATATGACATGTTGTATTATTGTATGCTATGTAATGCGATGTCATGTATGTTGTGATCTGTTGAGCTATAAGATGTGATGTATGCTCCGCTCTGGCATTGCATGCGTTGCCATGCTCTGTTATGCTATAATGTATGATGTTATGCTGTGTGCTGTATGATCCGTTGTGTCGTAGCATGCTCAACTATGCTATTGTTTTGGTATAGTAAGCTCTATTTTATGATGCTGCGTTACGTTGTGCTCTGCACTCTCATGTTATGAAAATATGCTCTGCTCTATCATGTTATATTATGCTCAATTCTGTCAAGCTCTGTCGTGTTCGTCGTCAACGCGGGGCAAACGTCTCGGGGGATACTCACTGGACCTGGGGATCTGGCAGCCGCGGTATGCAAAAGAATGGCCGGGTTGGCGCGAAGCGGGCGTTTTGGGGGATTCTCGGTTGACCTGGGGATCTTGCTGCCGCAGCATGCAGAATGGCCGGGTCGGCGCGATGCGGGCGTCTAGGGGGGTTCTGTGTGGACCTGGGGATCTGGCGGCCGCGATATGCAGGGTGGTCGGGCTGGGAGGTCTGTTCTGTAAATCGGACGACCCCAACCTGTCAGGTGGAACGACGGGTCCGAATTCGTAAGGCCACAACCCCTCGCTGAAAACGATGGGCCCGCCCTCCAGGATCCACAATCCTTCGCCCCCCCTCAGAAAAAACAAACAAACAAACAAACAAACAAGAAACGCTCTCCCGATAACAAATGAGGTCGCGCTCCCGATGCCACGATCACTCGTTCAACAAAAACAAGTCTGCACTCTCAATGACGCAATTCACCCTCCCGTCCTCCCTAAAGCGATGGATCCTCGCTTCTGGGGCCACCACTCATCCAATCAACAAAAATCTCCGCGCTCGCAAGGCTTGGAAGAAACCACATGGGTCCCGCGCTCCCTAGGACACGATCCCTTGAAAGGACAAGCACGGTTACGCGCTGCCGAGGCCACGAACCCTCCTGCAAGAAAATGATGGATCCGCGCTTCCTGTGTCATAATCCTTTGCGCAAGAGGGAGTGGGTCTTTATCCAAAGGACACGAGTCCTCGGAGAAGGGGGCACGGATCTGCGCTCCCAAAATTCACGACTCCATCGTGCACGCTAAAACAAAAGGCGGGCAACCACGAACACAAACAATACTCTCCTGGCTCCACCCCTTCCTGAGATGTCCTTCCGCTTTTCGCGAACCCGCCAGCAGGCTTGCCAACCAACTTGCCAGCTAGCCTGCAAACCAGCCAGCCAGCCAGACAACCAGCCCACCGGCCGAGTTGCCAACCTGCCAAACAGGTAACCAATCAACCAACCAACCAACCCAACAAGGCAACCCAACCATGCAGGCAAATAGTCGGGGAGCCGGCGGGAGGAGGCGAACCACTTCAGACATCCCTGAGCGCATCGGAGCACGCTCATATCACAAATACCGCATCACGCTCGGGCTCGGACACGACCATGAAACTGTCACAGGGTGAGACTTCGGCCCTCGTGGACCTGCCAGAGACCCATCTGCGACCGCAGTTGCGCATTCAGAAGGAAGAGAGCTGCCATAAACATGAACGTTCGCAGGTCCGCGCAGATGTTTTGGGTTGGCCCTGGACACTCCTTTCCAGGCGCGCGGAGCGTGCCAGGGGCGGCGGGGGAGTCGCCGACGTGAGGGTCCAGCGTAAATCGGAGAAATGCGCGCGGACCCTCGACAATCAATGCTTCTGCCGCTTCTGAAAACAAAACCGACGCACCGCCGCCGTCGGCGCGGAGAAAATCGAGCTGCCTCGCCGAAACATCGGCGACGCCCCATCCGCTCCAGCCCCACTCGGGAGGCCTGGAACGACGCTGCATCACAAAGTCGACCCATCTGCGACTGCAAACGGGCCTTCTGAACAAAGATTGCCGCCGCCCTGACTCGGATGGCAGCGGGCGCCCGAGCAGCCTGACGACGAAGGACGACGACGACGGCGGCGGCGGCGGCGGCGCACTGCGGGCGCCGCCTGCGGGTGTCCCAGCCGCGGGGGGCGGGCGCGCAGACAGCCGCCGCCGTCGTCGTCGTCGCCGCCGCCGCCGCCGCCGCCGTCGTCGTCGTCGTCCTTCGTCGTCAGGCTGCTCGGGCGCCCGCTGCCATCTGTCCCGCTGCCGGGCACGCGACGTGCCACACACACAGGCCGCCCCCCGCGTTGTGACGCGGGTCGGTGCGCGTGGGGCGCCCCTGTGCGTTCCTTGTCCGATGATCCCTTCTACCAGGGCTTTGGCAACTGCATGCGCCGACACGTGGCTCCAGGCCCCTATGGGCTTCTGGCCTCTCGAAAGAACGAGAATCTCGAGCAGCAAGATCAAGTTCATGGCGGTGGGGGCCGTGTATTGGGAACGCCAAGGATGGGGGACAGGAAGGGGGGGTTAGCGCATGGCGGCCCGAGGCATGCGCGCGGACGAAGGGACGTCCATGGAGAGGTTTGACAGAATAAGAGCAGAGGCCATGGGTTTTGGGGGATTTCAAGGCCCCGACCATGACATCCACCCCGCCCCAGTCCTCTGAGCATCGTTTAACCGATCCTTATCCCCACGGGCGTGGCCTGGGTCACACTGGTCGATTTATCCCCCTAGATGGGGATATAGGCTGTTCCCTTCGAGTTTCGAGGGGCATATCTCCAACTAGGGTGGTGGGATGCTGGGGATCTGAACGGGGATGGAGAAGGGGATAGGGATCGGTTAAACGATGCTGATCCTCACCCCCCCTTCGACGCGCTCGAATGGCGCACCCTCGCCCAAGCTCACCCCCAAGGCCCCCCCAGGACAGCCCGTTGAGTCCCGCAAGCCCTACCGCCCGGCAGAGGACATGCGAGGCGCGCGGCAGCGCGACTGGATCAGGAGGCCGGATGCCTCTTGCCGCTGGGCTGGGCCGCATGATCTGAAGCGCTGGACCGCAGAGCCCGTGGAGAGCCGCGCCTCAGGCCAGCACCGTGCGGCGCTGCATCGGCGGCTGCAGCGTCGGGCCCGACGGCGTCGGCGCCTGCAGCCTCGGGCCCGAAGGCGTCTGCAGCCTCGGGCCTGAAGGCGCTTGCAGCCTCGGGCAGGTCGGCTTGGCAACATCGAACCCGTTCGATCGGGTCGCTCGGGCGGCGCCGCCGTTTGGGCGCTTGGATCCCCTTCGCCGCCCACCGCGGGGGATCACGATCGCATCCTCGTCATCAAGCTTCTTGCGGTCCTTGAGCCAGCCCCGCCACGAGGCGCTCTTCTGCGCCTCCGTGACAAGCTCGGCCCACGTCTGGTGGGCCTCCTGGAACCAAGTCTCCATCCTGGCCAGGCGGCCCGCGATCCTGAAGCTCTCGAACGTCGCCTTCACAAGCAGCAAGTTTGTCGGCGGCTTGTTCCTCATATGCTCTGCCAGGTCCTGCCGCAGCATCGCCCTCTTCAGCGTCTCTGTGCTGTCGTCCGCAAGAATCTCTGCGATTCCCTCGGGCAGCGCCCGCAGCAGGACATTGTGCAAGCGCTCGTCACCCAACGCCGCCGCTGCGTACAGCGACGACTCCCCCCTGCCGTTCTGCCTGGCTGGGTCTGACGGCGAAGACGATTTCGAAGGCGGTAGCTTCGACAACAACGACCGCAACGGCGACCACAGCGACAACGACGACGAGGACCATGGACCTCTCTTGAAGCGTGGCAAAGACTTCGAAGCGGATCCAGTCGTGACGACGAGGGCGCCCCGTGAGCAAGACAGACAAACCCAACATATCCACAACCCTAGACGAAAACAGTTGCTGCGGCGGCGGCGACCACGGCGGAGGTGGCGACGGCAAGACCACGACGCTGGGACGACGCGGCGGCGGAGGCGACGGCGGCGGCGGCAGCGACGACAGCGGCGGTGACGACAACGACGACGACGACGACGATGGCGTGACGGCAACCGTAGCGACGGCGGCGGCGACGGCGACGACCAGCGGGGGCGGCCGCCGCCGCGGCCACGTCGCCGCCCGCTCCGGCCTGGTCGGGTCCGCGCGCGCCAGCAGCAGCGCGCCGCAGACCTGCGCTGCCGGGTCCGGGCCGTCCTCCCGGCTGGCCCCGCGCAGGGAGCCCACGGCCTGCACGGCCTGACAGCTCGAAGGCTCCTCCTCCTCCTCCTCCTCCTCCTCCTCCTCCTCCTCCTCCTCCTCCTCCCCTCCTCCTCCTCCTCCTCCCTCCTCCTCCTCCTCCTCCTCCTCCTCCTCCCCTCCCCCTCCCCTCCTCCTCCTCCTCCCTCCTCCTCCTCCTCCTCCTCCTCCCTCCTCCTCCTCCTCCTCCTCCTCCTCCTCCTCCTCCTCGAGGATCGAGGGCTCCTGAGATCCTGGCGTCTCACTTTTCTGTTAAGTTGTAGACACTTGTCGACTTGTGCGTGTCATCCTCGCGCAGGGACCATGCAAGTCTTCTTCGTATCGTTCCACCTTGAACGGAGGATCCCCGAAGGGAATCCAAACCTGGCGACTCAATTTTTCCACCGCGCGCGTTTTCGTGCCATTTCGGGCCCCAGGACCCTCACATATCGATCTGGCTCGAGAAATGACGCAGAAAGGTGGGGTCTGGGGCTCCAGTCGTGATCTGTTGTGGTGCTGCAATTTTTTGGTAACGTCACATCTCGGGGGCCGAGCTTCGATTCACCGATCCCTGCCCCCGCTGGTGTGGCCTTGGCCTCGCCGGCCGACGTACCCACCTGAGTAAAGTTGTAGACCTGCTCCTTCGGATTTCGCAGGGCCTCTCCCCGCCCAGGAGGGCGGGTTGGTGGGGCTGAGATACGACGTCGGAGGGGCGCCAACAATGCACCACCACCAGCCCTGGCCAGGTCCGTCCTGGGCCCTAGACTGGTGTACGGACCTCCCGGCCTAGACCAGGAGGGCACGCACACCAGTCCAGGTCCCAGGATAGGCCTGGCCAGGGCTGGTGGTGGTGTATTGTTTGGAGCTCTCGTACGACGGCCTTCGACTGTTTCCAGCAGGGGCAAGATGGGACCCCCTCGGGCCTCCAGGGCTGCCGTGAGGCGATCCCTGTCGCCCTCAGGGAGCTGAGTGAAGCCCACCATCGCCGTAGCTGGTGGTAGGGGGCCATCGACGCAGGCCCACTGGGGATCGGTCAGACGATGCCGAGAGGTTCGAGGGCTGGCGGCGCGCGCCAAGGGGTGGCGCGAGCGGGGTGGCCTTCCGGAAGGCAGTGGGCCGGCCTCGCAGAGGCCAGAGGCCTTCCTGGAAGCGGCTGGACGGCTTCGGGCAAGTGCTCCCAGAATGGTGGGCTTGTCTTCCATCGCCACCACCACCACAAGTAGGTGGGGGAGGGATTCCTCCTCCTCCTCCTCCTATTTCTCATTCTAATCCTCCACCTCCTGCCCCCTCCAATTTATGGTGGTGGTGGTGGTGGATAACAGGGCCATCACAGAAGCCCCCTGTGCCCTTCCAAGAGGCCCCCCTGCCTCTCCTCCGAGGGCCACCTGCCTCGCACAGCCCCCCCGTGCGCGCCGCCGATCGCAGAACCGAGGCTCGAGGAGGGGGAGGAGGAGGAGTCTCGTCGCAGGCTGTGACAGATGGGGGGAGGAGGAGGAGGAGGAGGAGGAGGAGGAGGAGGAGGAGGAGGAGGAGGAGGAGGAGGAGGAGGAGGAGGAGGAGGAGGAGGAGGAGGAGGAGGAGGAGGAGGAGGAGGAGGAGGAGGCCCGCTCGGAGCTCTGGCGCAGTCGGGGACAGATGCGTGACAGAAAGATCGGCGGTGGACCAACCTCCCTTTAGTAAACCTCCCATGAGTGAAAACGGCCTAGGACCGAAACCGACGGGCCTGGACCCGCAACAATGACGGCCGCGACGCCCTCTCGCGAACCGAAAACGGCCAATTCCTTAATCGACGTGTCAGGGTAGGAGGTCTGTCCACCCCCGAAAAGAGGGCCAGGATGGGGACCCCAGCTGGAAGGGCTTCGGGAACCGATGTTCCTGCCCGGATCGCGGCTCAGGAGGGTCGTCTTGCAAAAGAGCCCCCCCCCGCCCGCAAAGCTGTCTCGACGAACTCCAATGCAACTCTGCCGCTCAGTCAGTTCAAAGAAACATCTAGCGAGAGTCTTATTTTGAATCGGCTGGCCCTCCGTCATTGTAGCCGTTCTGCTGAAATTCCTAAGACCGAGGGCCTCGATCAGGGACCGAGGGTGGCAAGGCTGTGGGGGGCGCAACGAGACAGACTGAGGGTGACGCAGGTTACCCCGACGTCCGACGATGTGTTTTCTTTCCACGCGCGGCCCCTGGAGAGGTCCAGAAACCTGTCCTCGGAGGCAGTTTTTTTGCAGGGGAAAACAAGCTCTATATACACCGACGCTTCTCCCCGGCCGAAGAACTCCGCCCGGGCCCTTGAACGTTTCTGTCGGTGCCAGTCTTCCCTCGTCGGGAAAGCCGCCGAGGAGTGCCCCAGGGGCTTGCGGAAGAAGCCTCCCCGATCCTCCTCTGGCCGTCCTTCGCCCTCTCCCCGTTCTGTTCTGTTCTGTTCTGTTCTATGACGACTGCAAGACACCTACATGCCAGCCGCCTGGCTCAGTTGAGAGAGAGAAGACCGCTAACTTCCCTGGACGTGTCGTCCGGTGCGAGAGCACCTGGCTCGACAGCAGTGTATGGCAAGCGGAGATACGTCCCGTGCCCGACGTTGGGCTCATACTGACACTGGTGGCTACGGGTAGGCTTTCCCCGTGAACCGACGACCCAAGCGATCACGGCACAGTCGCTGTCGAGGAGGCCCCCGTCCGTCTGTATTGCTAGATCCCCCTCCCGCCAGCTGCAGCAACGGGAACTGGAAGGGGCCGTAGCAGCAGTCCAGCACCTCGCCGATGGTGCCCTGCTTGAAGAAGCCCTCCTGCAAGAGGCCGCCAAGGTTACTTGCCCGATCCATGGGTGGCCCTGGGAAACGAACCAGAAACCTGCACCGCGCAGCACCGCTCAGCGCCAATCAGTGAAGGGCGCAGGCGGTGTCGCGAGGTGTCGTGCGGTGCTGCGCGGTCTTACGCGTTGTTCCGCGGCTGTGTTGCCAGTACTAAACTTCCGCAGGTCCACAAAGATCTCTTCAGGCGGCTGGACCCCCCCCCTCCCACTGACCCAACCCCCTTTGGCATCAAGGAAAAGAGTCCTGAGAAACGGGCCCTGCATCCAGGGGCTTTTCCCAGGGACCAGCTTCCCATACCGAATCGTTGTCTGACGGTCCTGGGGCTAGGGGATGGCCCCAGGAGCTTGAAAACGAGGAACAACTCCAACCCCAGTTTCCCTCAAGACCCCTTTCCGGTGCAGCGCCGACCTACAAGATCTGCGCGGACCTGCTGAAACTGTTGTCGTTTTTGTTTCTTCGGCTCCTCCGCCCGGGCCAGCGCCCTGGACACGCGGGAGATCGCCCCGCAGCAACCGTCCTGCGCAAGAGGCGCCCGCACACCGCCACAGTGCCAGGCGGGGGCCATCCTGGGCCCTGGCACGGTGTACACGCCCTCCTGGAGGAGGCCAGGCGCGTCTATGCCCGCGGGCGGGGAACATAGCCATATATCCGCGGCTGCGACCCCACGGATGCACTGCGTCTCTGGGCGGGTGTCTCGCCCAGGGCGTATCCGCGGGATCGAGCATCAATGGGATCGCGCTTCGACGACATGCAGCCCCCGAGGGCATGGATATGGATATGCTCGTCGCTCGTGGTGGTGAACGCCATGCTGGGCCGCGGGACGGCCCTGGCCAGGCGCAATGGTGCACAAATGCCTTGTGCGGCCGGTCTTGCACCGCGCCATAGACGTACATCCCGAGGTCGGGCTGCTCGCTGCCCTCCTTCCGGAAGGGCAGGTCCGGGAAAGACCCCAGCTCCCCAAAGTACTCCTCGACGTGAGTGTGTCCCAGCGCGCGCGCGTAGTCCAAGACGCTGCACTTGTGACCGTCGTATCCGCCCAACTGTTGGCATGAATGAGCGGAGTCCTGGTGGAAGCGGGACCCGGTCGCAAGGGGGCTTCCCAGGACGTGTTCTCATCCGGAGCCCTTTTGTTAGGGGGCGAAAAATGGCATAAACATGATAACTCGGAGGTCCGCGCAGACCTCCGAGTCATTATGTTTATGCCATCCTTCGTTTCCCTATTTGTGGCGGCCCTGGGGCCCAGGGGAGGGCCCCATGAGTCCGAGAACGGCGAAACAGCATCCAGGACCCCCTGCCTCCAGGACTCCGTCTCTTCATGGCGACCACCTGCGCCTTGCACTCTATCAGCCTCTTGCACATGGACAGGTCGCCTGCAGCAGCAAAGGCCATCAGCGGGTTCCGCCTCCCAAGCAGCCGCGCCTTGGGGAGGCTCGGGTGCGCCGCCACGGCCGCGGATGCCGCCGCCTGCCATCGCCGTCGCCGTCGCCGCCGCCGCTGTCGCCGCCGCCGTCGCAGCCGCCGTCGCCACCGCCGCTGCGGTCGTCGTCGTCGTCGCCGCCGTCGCCGCCGCCGCCGTCGTCGTCGTCGTCGTCGTCGTCGCCGTCGCCGTCGTCGTCGCCGTCGTCCTCGTCGCTGCCGCCGCTGCTGTCGTCGATGCCGACGCGGCCGCCGTCACAGCCTCCGCGGTCGTCGTCGCCGGCGCCGCGGTCGCCAGCAGCAACAGCAACAGCCAATGCCATAAGCGGACTCCGTAGCCCCCAGGCAACCGCGCCTTGGTGTGGCTGGGGTCCGCCTTCGCTGTCAGCGCGGCGGTCGCGGCGGCGGGGTCAGCGAGCTGCGCGGCGCGCTTCAGGTGCGAGTGCACGCTCTCCCTGCAGCTGAAGTGCAGGCAGGTCAGGCCAGGGTGGCCCTCTAGCCACTCTCCTGTCGGGGTGGGTGGGCCGACGTGGAGGGGGTAAGCTTTAGGTCGACGCTCAAGCGACTAGCTTCCAGACGCGCACACGGCAGTGAGATGCGGTAGAACAAGCAGGAGCATCCCCGTGCAGCCATCGGCGCAGTGGAGTCACAGGGAGAGTTACAGCTGCAGTGATCCATGCAAGAGCCGAGCCAGGGCGGGCAGTGACGCGAAGGCAGGAGCAGGACGAGACCGTGATGCGACGCATCGGAGGTCTCTGATATAATTAGAGCTGGCGGCGGTACTGGGCGCCGCCCTTCGGCGGCGCTCCAAGACGTCCTGGACTGACCTATCGCCGCCACGGGCCTGCCTGAGGCAGCGGCGGGGAGGGCCGGGGAACCTCGCCGTCGCTGGGACGTCCATTCCCCACGCATTTTTCGTTCCGTGCGTGTTTTTTTTTGCTCGATGGTCCAGGATGGTCCTCGATGGTCCTCGCGAACCGGCCGCAGGCCGATGGTCTGCCCAGCGCCTGGCAGCCGTGCCGGCTTCGCGACCCAACTTTCCCCCCCAATCTCGGGGGCGGCCAAGAGGGGGGTGTCCAAGAAGGGGGGGTGCAAATCATGACCGGCGGCATGTTCGCGGCCCAGGGTGGGGGGGCCAGGGACGTCATGAAACAAGAAGAGGCGCCATGAGATCTGGGGAGATCTCATGGCCCCCGCCATGACATCCCCCCCCCCTAGTCATCACCCCCCTCGTGGCCGCCCCCGACAATCCCCCGCTTCGGCCCCCCGGGACCTAGCTTGGCGACGAGCTCAACGTGGCCGGCCTCGATTGCCCTGTCCATCGCCGAGGGCTGGCCGGGCTTCACCTTCATGTCGAAGTCCGCCTCGAGCGTCGCGAGCACCTTCGGGATATTGCCCGCCGCGACGTTGCTCATGAACCATGTGTCCAGCTGCTCTTGCGCGTGGTGCTCCCTGATGACCCTCATCAGCAGTTTCCCAACTTTCCTCCAACTCGCGTCCGACGACTCCAAATTGTGCTCCTTGCCCGCGTCGGTGAGGAGCGCCAGCACCGGGTTCTTGGCCTTCCGGCGGGCCGCTTGCTGGCCGTCGTCGTGGATCCTGAGGTCGACAAGGACCAGGAAGCCTACGAACGCTCGAAACAATACACCACCACCAGCCCTGGCCAGGCCTATCCTGGGCCCTGGACTGGTGTACATGCCTTCCTGGTCTAGGCCGGGAGGTCCATACACCAGTCCAGGGCCGATGATGGACCTTGCCAGGGCTGGTGGTGGTGTATTGTTGGCGTCCCTCCGAAGGCCGTGCGTCACCAGGCGAGTCAGCTTGCGCGGGTCGTCGGGCTTCGCCTCCCTCATGGCCTCTCGCCGTCGCTCGGACGCCCATTCCCCGTGCATTTGTCGGCCTCGTGCGTGTACTTTTTCGCAAGATGATGGAATGTGCTCCTCGATGGCCCTCGCCGAAAGAAAATCCACACGTCCGAGCGATGCCAAGGCCTCCAGCACCAGCTCCATCGTCTCGAAGTGGGCGCCCACGATGGTCAGCTCGAAGGGCAGCAGCCCCCAGCCGTCGGCCTTCCAAGGGTCCGCTCCGTTGACGAGGAGCGCGCGGACAGCGTTCCTGGAGCCGTGGCCGCAGCAGTTTGGCGGCGCGCACAATCGGGTAGGGCGAGGCGGGAAGGCTCCTTAGAAGGAGGCTGCTTCTAAGAAGTCTTCCCCCCTCCCCCTCCCCCCCTGTGCGCGCCGCCAAGCAGTAGTGGAGAGCGGTGCGGCCGTTCTTGTCGCACACCGTGGAGGCGCAGGACTGGAACTCGCTCGCCAGTTTCATCACCTGCACCTCCTCGTTCAGCACACACGCCTCGAACATGAGCTCGTTGACCAAGCGCTGCTTCTTGTAGTGAGCATGGCCTCCGCCTTTCTTGGCGTTCACGATCTTGTCGACGTGCAGCTGCACCTCGCCGACGATGCCGTCGGCGCGGAAGAGCATGCTGATATCACGGTACCCGTCCCGCACCTTCTGGAATCTGTCAGTGACCTCGACGAGGTGCCAGTCGTGCCGGTAGCTCTGCAGGTCGTCCTCGAGGATGGTGATGAACGCATCGTACAGGGAATCGATGTCGGGGTAGACGATAGAGGCGCGCATCAGGTCGGTCAGGCAGGCGGTATCGTTGCCGTACTTCGTGAGCGCCTTCGCCCTCGCCCGGTCACGCCCCTTCAGGTCTGGACACAAGGCGGTCCCGCCAGACCTGGCTGCGATGCGCCTGACTTCGCGCAGGAGCTTCGGCTGCGACATGGCCGTGGAATTGTACAGCTCGCCCATGCCGAGGATCTCGAAGCCACAGTCCTGGCGCCCGCGCTCGCTGGGCCTCGCCTCGCGCAGCTGCCAGCACAGCCGGTTGACCCGCTCGAAGTGCGGCTCCGCCTTCTCCTGGCGGGACCGACGTTGCATCTCGACGGGACCTCAGATCGAGCGGGAACCTGCGTCGGACGGGGCCGCATCGACACGGGGCCGAAATCGAATCGGGTCGGCCGCGCCAGGATCCGTCGGGGCGGTCTGGGCCGTCTGGGCCGGTCCAGGCCGTCTGGGTCGTCTGGGCCGTCGTGGCCGTCTGGGCTGCCTGGATCGTCCGAGCCCTCTGGTCCGTCTGGGCCGTCGGGCCGTCTGGGTCCTCTCTCGCCGTCGCTCGGACGTCCATTCCTCGTGCATTCTTCGATTTCGTGCGTGCTTTTTTCGCTCAGTCATCCAGGATGATCTCCTCCATGGTCTTCGCCGAGGAAAAAATGCACATGTCCGAGCGATGCCAAGCCTCTAGGCCGTCCTCTATCCTCCGCGTCGTCGTCGCCATCGCAACCCTTGCCACTCGGGCATGCAAGCATCAGACCATCTCGGACCGTCGGAACACCGGGGTCGAGCCGGAGCGGTGGATTTGGAATGTTCACCCTCTCCTGGCCCCCGGCCTGCTGGAACGCCTCCTCGTACTGCTTCACCATGGTGCTCTGGGACCCCTCCTCTCGAGGGGCCCAGGGACGCCCGCAAATCTGCCAACCCTGTCGGCGTGTGCGAGAGGTTTGTCTGTTGGAGTCCTCGTCTCGTCAGTCGTCGTCTGCGTCGTCCCCTTTCCCTGAACCCTCCTCACGCCTGTCAGCGAGAGGAAAACCTCGCAATGTCGTAATTAATCGAATCGAAGGGAAACGCCTTCCCTTTGATCCCTCCCCCAGGGGGTCCCGGCGCTGCAACAAGTACCACAACAAGCCAGGAGTGCCCCAAGAGGCCCCCGAGACGGTCCAAGAGGGCCCCCAATCCCCAAACGATCGGTCAAAGCCTTCATGCTCCCAGACTGCCCAGGAGATCTCGAAGACGCCAGAAGAGGCCTCCGAAGGCACTCCCGAGAGGGCCCCAAGAGGGAAACATCATGGATTCTCCTTCAATTTTTGGCAGATTTGGGCTTTCTCGCCTTTCCTGCTTTCAGCCGCTCCATGTCGGCCGAAGAGGCCCTCAAAATCGCGGCTTCCAAGAGCGCTCCAATACATCCCAAGAGAACCCAAAGACAACCCGAAACGCCTCTAAGACGGCTCAAGAGGCCCCCAAGACGACTGACTCCAAGAGCGTGCCTTGACGGGGAACCCGAACGGACATTTCGAGCCCTCGGCCCCGAGAAGCTCCCAGGAGGCCCCCTGGGCACCCAAAAGGCCCCCAAGAGGCTCCCAAGAGACCCCAAAATTCCCCCCCAGAGGCCCTCGAGAGCCTTCCCAAGAGATCCCAAGAAGCATCCCTGAGGACTCGGGCCCACGTCAGCGTCATCGTCGTCCCCCTTCAGGGTCGGCGGCAACGGCCTTAAGGCCTTCGCAATACATCCGCCGACCCTGTCGGCGTGTGGAAGAGGCTGTTCCTAAACTCGTCGTCGTCGTCGTCGTCGTCGTCGTCGTCGTCGTCGTGGTCGTTGTCGTCGTCGTCATCGTCGTCGTCGTCGTCGTCATCGTCGTCGTCGTCGGTCGTCGGTCGTCGGTCGTCGTCGTCGTCGCCGTCGCCGCCTTCGCCGCTCCTCTTTCCCTGGGCCCGTCGCCGCTCCCCCCACTTTCAGCGGAGGCGGAGGCGGAGGAGGAGGAGGAGGAGGAGGAGGAGGAGGAGAAGGTACACGAGATCGTCTACGTCGTCCACGCCGTCAACCAGGATCACAAGACGTTGGATTACAACCAGTGGTGGAATATGTTAGACAGTCTTATAATGAAATGGCCCCCTACGATGCTCTTGGGCGACCTCAACGCCCATCTTGGGCGCATGCATCGCACGATTATGCAGCCTACAGCGCACAGTGGGATCGGCCCCCACGCTGCTGACTATTACACGCCTGATGTGGACGATGTGCCTGGTCATAGGCTGCGACTCCTGCTTGCTGAGCATGAACTACATAATGATCCAACATACTTTGAAACTGCTGCAGGCCATACCTTTGTCATTAGTGCCAAGACATATCACAGGAACGATGCCATCTTAACCAACTCAGAGTTCCATGTGCACTGCCAGCATTGCGAGATTGCCTACGCGCTCGACACCTTCACTACGTCAGACGACCACTACCCCGTCGTGGCAGCATACGAGACAGTTAGCACGCGTACTACTGAGAAGGCTGAGGCGCGGCTCAAGCTCGACGACGCCAAGCTCAAATACCCAGAAGCCCAGCGCCAGTTTGAGGAGGAGCTCAACGATCATCACTTACCTGACTGGTCAATTGATGTGAACGCTCACCAGATCCTCACGGACGATCTTGTTCGAACTGCCGCACGTCGGCATTTTGGTTCCGGGCGTCTTTCTCCAATTCAGCCATACATCTCAACTACCACCATGGAGCTAGTTCGGCTTCGACGATATGTGGCGCGAGCTGTCCGAGCACCACCCCCACGAGCTCACCGACAGCATCCGTGGACTACGTTGATTCAGCACCTCGGTGATCCCCTCTTCCACCCAGCTGAAGGATTACTATGGAGGCATGTTGTCAGCGAGCTCCGACTTACATGCTCTATCAAGAAATATGATATCGAGTATACCGAGCCGGCTTTATCAGGGCCCTTCGGGGTTTCTTGCTTACCACCAAGAAGATTGTGACGGCGGCCATGCGTAAGGACCGTGCCGGGCACCTTGAACGTATTGCTGAAGACACGGAGGTGTGTGCCCAGAACGGAGATTCTCATCATGAATGGCGGCTTCTGAAGACCCTACTTAGGCGCGGAGGCCGACCTGGGCGACAAGGCAAGCATCTTCAACTTGCTGATGGTACAGGCGCAGTGTTCGAGAACGGACAGCAGGAAGCTCAAGCCATTACCCAGCACTTTGCCAGTACCAAAGATGCTGAGGTCATGGCGGTCACCTCCTTACGAGCAAGGTACAACGATCGACTCAATCATGAACTGCTGGTTGCCGACCTGCGACCAGACCTCGTTGTTCCACCATGTCGTGTAGGCCGTCTTTTTCGAGGAGTAAAAAGGCGCAAGGCGCCGGGGCGAGATCAGATTTCAGGAGACCTCCTTACTCGTCACTCCAAGGCGCTATCGCGTCACTATGGACCTATTTTCGCCGAGGCTGGGATGCGACAGAAAGAAGCATGTGCCTGGAAACGTGGAATCGTCTGCCCGCTCTACAATGGTAAAGGTAGTGCAGCGACGCTGGAGAATTACCGCTCGATCCTGCTTAATGGCAACCTCAGCAAATGCTGGCGTCGACATTTCCGTGACCAACTGGCTCAGCATCTCCATCTTATGCTTCGTGACGCGCAGAGCGAAGGGCGTCAGGCCAGGGGGGCGTCGCACCTACTGCGCGCGATGACCTCGTTCCTACAGCTTTGTAGGGTTGAGAAGCGGGCGGCGGCATTATTTTTCATTGATATTCGCGCAGCATTCTGCTCCACGATACGGTCGTTGGCGCGGCCGTGCTGCAGCGACGACGACGACGACGTGCATCCTCCACAACCATGAGCTGCCGCTTATCCTGATGCCGCTGTTCGAAGTAATCCCCAATAACCCATGTGCGCTAGAGGCACTACATGATCAACCGCACCTCCTTGCGTTGCTTGTTGAAGGGCATCGAGGCGCGCACTTTGCAGTGGCCAACCAACGCGTAGACCGTATCGCTAGGTCTCGGCGTGAATCCCGCCCAGGCAGTTCGCTCGCAGACGCCATCTTTAACGCAAAATTTGCCGAGCCGTTGGCGGCTATTGAGCAAGAGCTCCGCGACCAAGGTATGGACTTACTCCTCCAAGTTGCTCGCGAGGATGCGGTTTTCTCTCGCGGACTAGACCCGCCCAGGCTGCTCGACATCTCTTCTGTGGGCGACGCTTTGAATTTGCTTGCGTGTTCATCAGCGCGCCGTGCTGTCCACGCTGCAGCCGATGCGGTGGACTGTGTGCACGAGCATATGCCCGCGCGCGGTTTCACGGTCAACTACCAACGGCACAAGAGCAGCGTCATGATCATCCCTGGCGGCGAAGGAGCTTATGGAGTTCGACGACAACTGCGGGCCGATGCCAACATGAAGACCATCACTCCAAAGTGGCAAGCAGAGGTGCACATCGTCAGGGGCTATAAGTATTTGGGGACCATGGTCGACGAGGAGGCAGCGCTAGGACCGCGGATATCAATGGCGACTACCAAACACAAGATAGATTTCGACCCGATCCGCCGAATGACCAGCAGATTAAGCCGGCTGTCCCTTAAGGCTAAAACCAACATCGTAGACGTGATGGCTACCGTCCACTCGCTGTATTTGACGGATGTCTGGCAGAGGACTAAGCCGCCACGACCGCGTGCTCTGGAAGCGCCTCGCCTTCGGCCATATCGTACAATCGTTGGTAAGCAAAGCAACTTCGGCACGACGGCCTTCGCCGCAGACAACGAAGTTTCGTGGCTAGCAAAGCGGGTCTCCATCGAGCATGTCATACGGAGGCGTAAGCTAATATATTTCGGGTCCCTGTTCGTCAACGCGCCGGCAGCTCTGTTCTTCCCAGTTGATCACCTTGCGCATCAGGATGGCTCCTGGGCGCCACTACTCACACACGACTTCGAGTGTTTATGTGCGTATGCAGATGATCCGACGATCCGCGCTCGCACGCTATACGACTGGTTCAAGTTTGCCTCAGAGCACCAGCGTGAGTATAAGCTCTTAGTCAATCGTGTCTGGCGGAACTGGCTACCCATCGAACTCGATCGCCTGCGTGCCAACGCCTGGGAGGCCAAGCTACAAAGACTTGCGCCAGGCCTTGAGCTACTTGTACCTAGGTAACTTTGCTGCACATGTGGAGCTACTCTGGCCGCAGTTGCTGCGTGGCGACGACATCAGCTAGAACGTGATCCCACTGGCCTGGCCCAGCAGGCTGTCTGGGGCACCCAGTGCGCAGCGTGTGGACAGATATTTGATACTCGTACCCTTTTAGTCAAGCACTTACGAAAGGTGGGAAATAGCTGTGACCACGGGATCAAGAGCAATAGCGACCTTCCAGAAGCTGAAGAAGCCGCTGGTCGACGTAAAGACGATCTGGAGGCAGAACGAGCATTGACACGTCGAGGTTATCATCGTACGAAGGTATTTCGCAATGTTCGACGGCCAGATATTGGCGAAGTTGTGGCAGGTGTTCGGCGCTGGGGAGGACGAGGTGAACCATCTCAGCCGCCAGTGCCTCCTTTGGTTCAAATTGGTTCAAGCGGGTGCGCCTCGACCCCCCCGTTTATCTTTAGATTTGGTCCACGCTGACGGTCGCCAAGCTTACTTTCTTTTTGCCGACCACAGATTTGAAGGATATGTACCAAGTTGATTTGAAGCCCTGAACTTAAAGGCGACGACCCTAGTCATCAAGCCTGCACTCAGTGACAATCCTGACGGCACACCATCTGTATTTACGTTGGACGACTCGTTTGTGGAGCGGGTGATCGGTGAAATCAGACTTGGAAAAGGTATCGTGCTTTATGGCAACTCCTGCTTTGGCCACATGAAGGCTTTCGACCGCTGACACACTGACCAGGCACGCGCAACAGCTACCCCAAGCCCAGCACCTCCAACGACATGGTCAAGTTCGACGAATGAGGGAGCAGGTTATCAGATCTGCGCAACACCCATGGTATGAGCCTGGTGTACCGCATTATATTGGCACCAGAGTCTTGAGCGACAACGTGCAGACGCGGGGCCTACTACGCATACTATCCGAAGCATAACATGCAGGAGTTCCAGCACTTACGATGGCGCCCGCCACTCGTCTCGAGCTGGCGGCCGCAATGCCCCCCCAGATGGGCCATCTCATTCAGTCACGACATTTTTCGCTTCATCGTGTACCCCAGTCTTACATCCCTGGGGGGGCATTTCTCAGTCAGTACTTGCTGTCCAGTGTTCAGTTGATTCCACTTTCAGGTTCGCACAGAGTCCACCTGCAGGATAGCCAACGCCACCGAAACCGTGGACACTTGAGTTGGCAGCTCCCGTTGCGGCAGCCCTGATGGCCACGAACATCGCCATCACGGCTGCGTGCCGTGTCTAAGGACAAGTCGCAGGCAACTCGCCCTCTCTATCATCCTGCCCTTCGTCCTGCCACTTCCGAGCTCCCTCGGCATGCTGTGCGCGCTCGTCTCAGGTGGGGGGCGGTGCGGAGGCGGAGCGAATGAGCCTGGCGTAAGGGGCTCCCCTCGCGCCCGCCCCCCAGCCGCCAGTCAGCCTCACTCGCCTCGACCTCGCCATCATCTTTCGTCCCCGTCCCTCTCGCATTCCTGCTCCTGCACGGCCCCGTAGCACGAGCTCGAGCAGGAGGCCCCTGTTGGCCATCGTGCTCCCCGAGGGCGCGACGGTTGGCGTGAGCGTCCTTAGGAGGAGGGCCAGGCGACGGAGCCCGACGTCCTCCTGGGCAGCGGCCTGGGGTCCGAGTTGTGCTCTTACATACCCCTGGAGGCCACCCTGTCCCCCACTCTCGAGGACCTGGCCGCTGCCCCGCTGCTGTCCTGTCTGCTTCGGCCCCTCCGTCGGGATCGAGACCCGTCCTGGTGCTGAAAGGGGCCTTTCGGTTTGATGGATACTGGTCAGTGGGGACTGCAGTGTGAGGTGTTCAGCCCAGGACGTGTGTGCTGTTACTGTTTCTCGTCTCCTCGACCCTAGCCTGTACTTCTATGGTTTTTTCGGGGGTTGAGGAGGCGGCCTTCCTTGTGCAGCGCGGGCGTGCGCGGCCCTCGAATGCCTCCCGCTCGTGCGAGCGATGAGGCGTCGGCCGACCCGCCCGCGCCCTGACGCCACGAGCGGGTGTGCGCTCGGCGGCCTGGCTAAGAAAGGAGGAGGAGGAGGAGGAGGAGGAGGAGGAGGAGGAGGAGGAGGAGGAGGAGGAGGAGGAGGAGGAGGAGGAGGAGGAGGAGGAGGAAGGGGCTTGCCATACGACTCCCCCCGGGGGGGGGTCGCCATACGACTCCCCCCCGGACGGTTCGGGGGCCCAGAAAAGCCCCAAGACGGGCAAAAGTGCCCCAATAAGCTCTCAAGACTGTCCTCGAGGGCCCCGAATCGCCGAAGTATCGGTCCAAGTCGCCAGAGTAGCCTCCAGACGGCTCAAAAGGTTCCCAAAACGCCCCAAGAGGCTTCCAAGAGGACTTCCACGAGGGCACCACGGGGCAAAAAATCATCGATTCCCCTTAGGTCTTTGGAAGATTTCGGCATTCTCGTCTTGTCAGCTTCTCGACGCTGCAAGACAGGCCAAGAGGCCCCCAAGACCTTCCCAGGATGGTCCAAGAGGCCTCCAGGAGGGCCCCCAAACGACCCAAGAGGGCCCCAAGACCGCCCAAGAGGCCTCCAAGACAGCCGAAGAGGCCCCCAAGACTGCTCCAAGAGGGAGCCCAGACGGGGGACCCGAACGGTCATTTCGAGCCCTTGGCCTGAGAAGCTCGCAGGCGGCCCCCATAGGCCCCTAAGAAGCCCACCCAGATGCCCCCAAGAGGCTCCCACGCAGCCCCCAAGAGCCTCCCAAGAGGCCCCCAAACTACCCCCAAGAGGCCCCCGAGAGCGCTCGTCGTCGTCGTCGTCGTCGTCGTCGTCGTCGTCGTCGTCGTCGTCGTCGTCGTCGTCGTCGTCGTCGTCGTCGTCGTCGTCGTCGTTGTCGTCGCCATTTACGTAGGGTCGGCGGCACTGGCCGCAAGGCCAGTGCCATAGACACAAATCCTAAGATTCCCAATTGTTTCAATCTTTCTCGATGTTCGTCGTTCCCCCCCACTTCTAATAGGTTCCCGCATTTTCTGGGGGATCGACGATTATTTGTGCCTGTGTCTATTTTTTCCTCCTGATCCTGCTCCCTCTGCTGCGCGACGTCCTCCAGCGAGCTCATCCTCCTGGTGCTCTCCTGCATGCCCATCAGCTCTGCCACTCGTTCTTTGAACTCCATGCCCCTTAGGCAGCGCTCAACCACCTCGAAGAAGCGCTGGGTCCACCCCTGCGCCTGGCCCGCTTGCTGCCAGCGCGCCATCAGCGCCATCAGGCCGCGCTCCAACTTGGCGTCTTCCGAGGCGTGCTGGGCTACCACGCTTTTCTTGGCCCGGAACTGCTTGTTGATGGTGTCGAAGGCGCGCACCTGGAGCCTGGACCACGACTTATCCCCGCTGGAGTCCAGGGCTGGCGGCCCGTGGTGGCCACCGCCGCTCGCCTCCTCCTTCGCCTCCTCCTCCTCCTCCTTCTCCTCTGGGCATGGAGCACGCGGGACCCGAGAGAGAGAGAGACGGGCCCTCGACCCCAGGGCCCCCCCCCGGGACCGGCTTCTCGGCCTGGCCCGCCTCTGTCAGCCCCCAGGCCCGCGGAGGGCCCAGGCAGGCCGACCTTCAGACGAAAGCGTCGGGACCGTAGGAGAAGCACAACACTGCACAAACTTTTGGCGTCGGCGGCGCGCCGGAGGCGGTCCGCTCCGACGCAACGCGTGGCAATTCGGGGCAGCCGAACGGCTAATTGGCCGGCATGCAAGAGGGGGAGAACGAGCAAAACGCTGCAGAAACATGAGCTTCTGGAGGTACTCTCGGACTTCCAGGACCCGCGCTGAACCCCCCTCCCTGGCGCGCGGAACGCGCCAGGGGCGCGGCGTCGGAGGCGCCGCCAGGGGGGGGCGGGGCCCAGCGCAGATCCGAGAAATTCGAGAGGAGCTCCGAAAGCGTCCTGCAAGTTCGTGTCGTGTCGATCCCGGCGGTGGTGCCCGACACCGCGCGGATCGCTCAACCTTGAACGATCGGCCGTTTCCGGAACGTAAACTCGTTCAACATCGACCGATTCTGGGTCGTCGGCGGCGTACAACGTTGAACGCCGGCGGCGGGGTCGCCGCTGGTCGACACGACGCCAATCTACCGTATGTTTATGCCGTGTTTCCTCCTTCGGCTCAGGGCCGACCTTCTTCGCGGCGGCTCCTGCTCTGCCTCCTCCGAAACCTCGCCCTCGCACGGCAGCCCCTCCTCTGTGGTGCTGCTGAGAGTGCCCCTGGCCCAAGGCGCCCCCAGGATTCTCCGGGTGGCCCAGGCGGCCTCCAGAACACCCCTCACCAGGCCCAGAGGGGCCCCAGGGGCTCCAGAAAGGCGGACAAAAACCGGGGGCACCCTGGGCCAGGGGAACCTCTGGCAACCCCCAAGGAGGAAACCAGGAAGTACAGATACCGCTAGTACCCAGACCTCTCCCAGGATGCGGTCTGACTAAAATTCCGAAGCGGATTCAGCGGTGGCGACGAGGGGCCCCTCAGGGGGGCCCCAGATGGCGAAAACGAGGCGAGGGTAGCGGTATCCCCTGAGATCTGACGTTGCCAAAACATGGCAACACCGCAAACAGTCCCGACCGGAGCCCCAGGCACCATCTTTCTGCGTCATTGTGCGAGCTGGATCGATCTCTGATGGTCCCGGGGCCCGAAATTAGACGAGCGCGTTCCACTGCTCGCAAAGTACGTAACTACTCGCAAGAGGCCTGGACCCGCCGCGGGGGATCTGCGACGAACGACATCGAAGCAGACAGGTGTTCCTCGGACGTCTGCGAGCAGGCACTCTGTGAGCAGTGGAGCGCGCTCGGCGAGACATGGCACGAACAGGCACCTTCTCCTCCTCGGACTCCTCGCCCTCGCACGGCCACCCCGCCTCGGCAGCCCCCTCCTCGCCCGGGCCGCCGCCGCTCCCGAGGCGCACCGCGGGCCCGCCGCCGCCCTCGCCCTCGGCAGGGGCCGAGGCCAGCACCGAGGGCGCGCGGCGCCCCCCGCGCGGACTTCTCGGGGCGGCGCTCCCCGTGGAGGGCTCGGCGGAGAGCCGATGATCCTCAGAACGTGCGTTGGCCCCCCACGTGTGTTCGTCCACCGAGGCCCTTCGACGCGGCGCATGCGATGTAAGGATCTGCTGGTTGGGCTGAAGGGGTAACACACACACATTGGGCTGACACACGCCCTGAGGAACATCGAGAGGCCAGCATGTCGAAGCAGCAGGAACCGCACAACCATAAGCTTTCGACGGTCCGCGCGGGTTTCTTGGATCCACGCTGGACCCCCCTGGCGGCGCCTCCGGCGCCGCCTCTGGCGCGCTCCGCAGATCCAAGAACTCCCCGCGGACCGTCGAAAGCTTGTGCTTGTGCCACTCTTTCTTCCTCTAGAGATGGCTGGACTCGGGGGTCCACTGGCCTGGGTCCATGCAAACCAAGAGCCTGCAGGATCCTGCGACCCAGCTCGGGCCAGTGCATGCTCCGGCGCCTTGGCTGACTCCTGTAACCCCGCCCCTTGGAGCCCCGATAGACTTAAGTCGGGCGTGTCCCCCTACAAGGGAATCTTCGCCGAAAAATAAGAAACACGCAGAAAGTAATCACAAATTGTCAAAACATGCAAAAAATTGTCTCCAGACTATTTTTGACTATTTCTGAATATTCCTCCTGTAGAGGGACAGGCCCGACTGAACTGCAACCCCGCCCCTTGGAGCCCCGACAGAAGCTGGCTTCGCGCTTCTGGCGGGGGGTGCCGCCGCGCCTCGCCTGAGCCCGCCGCCCCTCCTTGCGAAGACATGCGCCGCCGGCCGCCCGAAGCGCGACCTCGGAATGGTCACGCCTTCGTTGCAGGGGCTCTGGGACACAGAAATAAATAGACACAAATAACCATATTCCTCATATTTTTCATATTTTCTGTGTTTCTGTCTCCCCCCCACTTCCCATGTTTTCCATATTTTCTTGGGAATCGACGATGAATTTTGTCTGTGTGTTTCTTTCCCTCCTGATTCGTTGCACCACCATCAAGACGACCTCCTGGGAACGACGAAGCCAAAACGAGAACAACTGGGGGTCAGGATCCATCGAGAACCTCTGAGATCCGGCGTCCCTGAGAGTGCTCCGAGACGCTCTGGAAAAGCTTGTCCCCGTCCGCTGCGCGCCAAGGGCGGCTGTGGAGGAGCCGCCGGGGGGGGACCAGCGCCGACCCGAGAAATCCGCGCGGACCTCCGAAAGTTCTGCGCCAGAGCAGGGCGAGCTGAGACGACGGCAGCTCAAGCTCAGCCTCCGGACCCCGCCGGGGACCCCGATGCACCAGCTGCCCGAGCTGCGCCTGGCCGTGGCGACGAGGGGGCCCTCCGAAGGTCGACTGCCATCGTCTCAACTCGCCCTCCCGTGGTCTTGCTTCGCCTCTGGTCCTCTTGGTCCCGCACGCCGCTGCCCGCGGAGTCGGTGCCCGACGGCCGCGCCGCCGCCTCGCGCGCGGGCGGCGGTGGGCCCTCGGCCGCGGCGGCGGGAGCCCCCGCCGGCTCCCGCGGCGGCGGCGGCGGGGCGGCGCCGACCAGGCGCACCGGGGCCCGGGCGGCCATGAGGTCGAGCGCCTGCTGCCGCAGCGCCTGCAGCTGGTGCCGCTGCGCGCGGAGCTCGGCCTGGCTCTCGCGCAGCTCCCGCTGGCACTGGGCCAGCTGGCGCTTCAGGTAGTTCTGGGAGGAGGGCAGCCCCCTGGGCGGGCCGCGCGCAGGAGCGGCCCCCGGCTCGGGCCGGGGCGGCCTCCGGCGCGCAGCGCGGCGGAGGGCCGCAGGGGGGCCAGAGCCAAGCGCGCAGGCCAGTGCTGGTGCGGGCCCGGGGGGCCCGCGCCAGAGGCCGCCCTGGCGAAGGGTCACTCCTGAAACGCTCGCGGAGCCGACCTCGGCTCGGGCCTCTCTGCGCGACCCGCCGGCGCCCTCTGCGACGCGGAGCGGCCGCCCTGGCACATCAGCGGGGGAGCCGGCGGCTGCGGCACTGGCCGCATCGGCGCGCCCTCCTCGAGCAGGGCTGAACCTACACTTATGATCAGTCTTGTTTGCTAAAGCCTCCAGATCGTAGAATCCATTAAAGTAGTTTAGAAGTAACTTCAAAGTAACTTCCCGCATTTTGTGGAACATGTACGCCCTCAGAGGGTTCGCCCCGATGGAAGTAAGTCAAGGGCCCAGCGCCCCTTGAATCATATCCATTAAAGTAGGTACGCGTTCCCACGCGGGAGTTCGCCACATGGGAGTGGGCGCGCGCGCGGGCGTTCTCCAGAACGCCCCGAGCGGTGCATTTTCTTGCGGTGTCTATTTTGATCAGTCGAAGCTCATTTTTTCCTCCTCTTCCGATTGGGTAAGTCCCTTCCTCCTCCTCCTCCTCATCCTCCTCTTCCTCCTCCTCCTCTTCCTTCTTTTCCGCTCCTCATTCCGAGATCATCGCTGATTTCATTGGCCTCTTGTTTTTTTGTCTTGTTTTTTTGTACGCCCCTCAATTTGTCTGGTTCCCCACCTCTCCCTCCGCCCTGCCCGCCTTGGCAGCAGTCGTTCACTCCTTCTCCGCCGCCGTTCCCCCTGCTCCCCGACCACACCCTCCTCCCACCCCCTCGCTTCTCCGACCACTCCCTCCCCCGACAGCTCCCCCCCCCTTCCCCCGACCACTCCCTCCTCCGACCACTCCCTCTTCCCCCTCGCTTCCCGACCCCTATCCGCCCACTCCCTCCTCCCGACCATTCTCTCCTCCCGCCCCTTGCCCTCGACCCTCCGTCCCTCCTGTCCCTTTTTCTGGCTTCGTCCTTCCTCTAATTGTTGACGCTTCGCGTATCCCCACCAGCGTCCGTAGCCCCCTTGGCTCAAGGCCGTCTGGTGGGCCTGCCCTCTCCGGGGCAGTCTCCCGCCGCTCAAGGGGGCGCCCAGACGCTGCGCCGGGGGCCCGCGGCCCTGGACCCCCACCGGCCCCTGGGCGCGCCGGCCATTGCTGCAGCCTTCCCGCCGCGCAGACGGGCTCAGCGGCCCGTGGCTCAGATCGGATCAGGGCAGCTGCCTCATGGATGGTCGGCTTGATAGCGAGCGATCGATCGGCGACAATCCTGTCATCCCTGTGGGGGAAAGAGCCGCATCACCCGATGTCGGCCTCGGGACCACTGGGCCGAATGACTCAGGACATACTCGCCCTGGATCTCAGGACACCATCCCGCCGGGGCAACCGTCGCCCCCTGTTCCCTGGAATGGGAGCGCTTCGGCCGATGCTTCGTGTACGCGAGGACAGATGGCCCCCAGCCAATCGGAGGGAGGGGCTGATCCCCTCAACCCTGTGATACACACCGAACGTGCGACCTTCCGTCGCTACCCTGGACTTGAGATCGGCGGACGCGCAGCGGTAGACGGGGTTGATACGTTCAGCCCTCCGTTTCAAACTGACAGCGCGACCTTCCGTCGCCACCCTGGAGTTAATAATGTCAGGCATGAGGCCCTCCCGCCCAGCTACCCTTCCCTTACCCCCACTCTTCCTCTGCCCACGGCTGGACGCCCAATCTCCTTTTCTCCAGGCAGCGCTGGGCATAACGGGACTGGCCCCGCGGCACGCGGTGCGCGCTGGCGGCGAGGGTTGCACAACATCCGACATTCTGTGCATCGCCACATTGGAATTTTGGCAAAGTTCACCCACCCCCCTTCGTCGTCGCGGCGAAACCCAGAATTGTTCAACGCGTTCCCCCCCTCTCACCCGCCGCGCTGCGCCCCAGCCCCCTTCTCCGTCATCCAATGCTGCGCACGCGGCTCCATTATGTAGGCGTCGCAGCTGTCCACAGCGCCACGCGCGCGGCGCGATGGCCACTGTGTTCGCAGCCGCTCCCCCGCGGGCCGCGCCGCGCGCGAGGCGGCCAATCCCCGCCCTGCAGCCGCGGCGTGGGGCAGATGCACATCTTTCCAACGCTTTCCGCCGCTCCCCACCCCGCCGCCGCGCTTCCCTGGCGCGCGCCCGCGCGGGCTTCCTGGGCGTTTGGGGTCGCTGCGCATACGTCGCTTGGGTGCGAGTCCAGCCCCGCTTGCGGTCCCGCGCCGTCGCCGCGGCGCGCGCGCGCGCGCCGAAGCGTTCGATGCGTGGCCTCGTCGTCGCGCAGCGGTCCAGTCGACCGCGGCGCGGGCGCGACAACGCGCCATTTTCCAAAGAACCTCCCGCCTGCTCAAAGGGCAGCCGCGCCGCGGGCCCGAATGCAATTCCATCCAGGAACGACCCTTAGCTTTCTCGCTCTGGCCACTGCCGCGCCGCCCATGCGTCTGCGATCGCTCCATGAGCCAACGCGAACGCAAGCAAGCTGCGTTGCTGCTCTCCGTTGGCAGCGGCAGCGCAAGCCCACCACTTGAAGAAGCCCGTGTCCTTGCTAATGAAAGCCCTGCCGCGGCCGAGTCGGAGGGCCGCGGTGCGCGCTGAATGCTCCGACCGATCTCGGCGACGGGTCCACGTGGCGTCCGTGGAGCGTCTCCACTATAAATCCATATCAGCGCATCCGCCCGCCCGCGCTTCGGCGCACGCGGCGTCGCGTCTGGGGGGGGGGGGGGGGGGGCGGGGGCGATGGGGGCAGCGCGGGAAGGGGGGGCGGGGGCATGGGTGGCTCTGAAGCGACGGGGGGCACGGGGAGGGCGGGAGGGGGATGGGCGCGCGGGGGGGGGGGGGGGAAGGGTGAAGTGGGCGGGGGAGTCTCGAGATGCTGCTGAGGCTCCGAGAGCGCCTCGGGGGGCCCACGTTGAGCTCCAATATGGCTCGACATAGCCTAAGATGCATCAAGATGGCTCCGTAGATGCTCCATCGCGCCACAGCCCCCGCAAGACGGCCCCAAAAGGCCAAGTAGCTTCCCGAACAAGCCTACAAGGGGCCAGCAATCATCGGAACACCTCAGGGAAACCAATGAGTTTTGTCTTCTCGCCTTTTCGCTTCGGATGCCCATCCGAGGCTTTGAGATGGGTCCACGATGGCCCAATGGGGCCCCAAGAGGGGCCCACGAAAACCCCATCGCGGCGCCCTGAGCGCCCACGATCGCCCCAAGAGCGCCCCAATAACGGTCCAGGGTGCGAT